CCATTCTTCTGGCGCAAAGCAGATCTTTCTCCCCAACCTTCACTCACTGGATCGAAGCTAGTCAATCTATACGAGTGAAGTCTTTATCTCAACTTATCCCTTCTAGCCTCAATGGCTAATGCATCTTCCGGCGGCTCAGCAAGCACCAGAAACCTTGCTGCATATGACCTCGTAAAGGAAAGTTACCAGCGAAGAGGCTCCTAGATCAAATTGCCTTCTCTGCAACCCTCCAGTGGGAGCTACAAAGGCGGGGTGATGCTCCAAGCTATGGAAAGCCCGTTGATTTCGTTTCCTCTCCTCTCGCATATCAAGGGCAATGCTGACTCTCAGTCGCTGCTTTTGTTCCCTCCCCATCGACCGGCTTCCACTTCCGAATTTCCACCATCGCCTTGTAAAGTCCAGTTCTACTTATAGAAAGGAATTTATGCCCATCCAAGCTTTTCTCCGGCGCATATCCCTGAACCGCCAAGCAGTGGGATAACCTGCCACCCTCTACTCTAGCTCTTGGTATCGGAATCCCAAGCTCTCGACCTTTGCCCCCGGACCCAAATCCTACCCGTTCCCATATTGGGCCAATGGAAATAAGTAGTACTTCCGGATGCCTCGCGTTAGGAGGAGAGTTGGATGGCCTGTCAGCTATATGGAAGTGGAGCAAATGAACCTCCCTCTGTTTCCGACCCTGACCGAACCGGGATACATTATAAGATATCTCTTTCCTACGATGCCGAGCGGACTCCTTCCATCCTCATTATCTCTATTTCTTGGAAGCAAGGCCGGCTTAAGGAAGCCATCAACCAAGCATTTGAATCGCCCCGGCACCCAAGCATGCATTCAGCAAATGAATTCTTATATATTAGATATCAAGTGAGCCCCCTCCCTCTGGGAAATGAGCTCTCTTCCACTCCACCTGCTTCTGCATAGTTGCACCCGAGACCCCATCTTCTGCCTGCGAATGAAGCTCATTGCGCCTCCATATTTCAACTCCTCAAAACCAAAATGATCTGCCCAAGCTCCTACGAGCAGAGCTTAAGGCAATTTTCTATTCCACCCCCGGTACCGGAGAAGTCAATAGCAAAATGATTCAACTCCTCCTCTTCGACCTTTTAGATAGCCATTCCCAATATTTCATAGTTCTTCCCGGGCCTATTGTACCATTTCCTTTCTTCTATACTCCACCACCCTTCTCTTTATTGGCAGTAGTCGGATGCATATCTTTAGCGGTTATCATTGTTGAAGTATGGGGGTCGCGCTCTCTTTGATATGAACCCTATCGTCAGCGAATGAGATAGTATGAAAGAGGAATAGTCAATCCTCAGCAAATACTAAGTAAACCCACATTCTCGATGAGATGATATATCGAAAAAATGAACTTTAGCCTTTTCTGGTTCTTTTGCAGCCTATTACCCGTTTGTTTGCTTTTCACTGACTTATAGGTTCCTTGTGAACATTTTCTCCTAATCCCGTCAATGAAATGAAGAGAAAAGGCCTTCCTTCTTCGATCCCATCCTATTGAGCCCTGCCGCATAGCTCACGAGTCTAACATGTGATGCGACAGTCACTTGGAGAGCACGAGGGAAGCACTCCTGTCAACTGACTTTCATCATTGGAAGTGTTTCCATCATCCCCTTAGCCCCGTGTAAGTTGAAAACCTTCCTGACCAGGAGTGCCTTTCACTCGAATTCTCCTTGTCGGAAGTTACTTTTTCCCTGTCACCAACCCTAATCTTCGGATTTTCAAAAATCGTAAATATAACGATTCTGGCAGTTTGAAAATAGATGTCTGGTAGCAAGTTTGCTTCACTCCAACGGCCAGGCGGCCGTAGGCTGGACTTTAGGTTCCAACTATCCTATCAAAGCTTCGAGTTCCTTCCGGACGTTGAAGAAAATGGTGTCCCTCACGAGTACGCGCTATGCTGTGTTGCACAGGAAAGTCTGTTGAGGCAGCAAAAACGTACGTAATAATAAAAAAAGGGGACTATTTCTAACTCAGTCTTGCTGTTGCCAATCGTTTTCTCGCTCGGTAAGAGCCACTCCAGCCCTAATAGCTTAGTGAGCTGAATGAAGGTATTTCCTTATTATGAGTAAGTTCAAAGAATGCGCTTGAGTGAAAGCTGGAGTTGGCACAAGACCAGATTGAAAGCTAAACGTAAGGGAGGTTCTCCTGTCCTTCCTAACCTTCAATGAGCCTTTCCTGACTGCATTTCAACTTGGGCTTTGACTAAAAGGGGGTTGTCCGGTTCTGATCCTCATTTGTACTCGTCTTCAAGCTATTAAAAAGCAAAAAAAGGGGAACAGAAGTCTCCTGAATTCATTTTTGATGCGGCGCATTCTCTTCAAAGCTCCTAACGAAGGCGTTTCCTTCTCGGTTTGACTGAAAACCATCTTCCCACGCAAATCCGATTGATACTTTAATTACTCTATACCCTTTGAGTTCTCTTTAGAATATAATAGTCAGTCCCATTGTTTATGATATCTATAAATATAGCACCTAAATAGTACCTATACCCTTTGAGTTCTCTCTATGAATTTATACCCTAAAAAAAATAAAAGTACCTACTCTTTAGAGAAATTAAAAAATCATAATGTGGGTTTTATAGCTCACTTATTTATATAAACCTTAAAGCATATCTGTCCCCGGAAAAGAAATCCAATTATCCGGTATGCCTCCCTACAGTGATATTATAGTAAGGCTTCTTTAATTTATATCAGTTAGGTCCAGAAGGATAAAAATCCAGGTGTAAGGCAAAGGGCGGTTAATGTCAACCGATAAATATTGGTCAAAAGATTTTGTTTTGCTACAAAGAAAACTAAGGATGTGAATGTGACCTATCCGAATTTTACTTATTTGCTGACTGATCTTATAAGCAAGCGTACAAGTTCAGCGCAACAGGAGCGACGGAGGCATATATAGACGTAAGGCATAGGGAACGTCGTAATGTCACTGAACCGCGTAGGCTAGTGACATTCCCCCTAAGAGGGGAGTCTTGGGGAGCCTCTGAAGGGCTCCATAGTGATGCGAGGGGGGCCCAGGGGGTATGGCGAATTACCACCCCTCCCTAAGCCCTCAGTCTGTATAGCGACCGCAAAGAAGGCAAACTGAAGGGAAACGCAAGGAGCGATTCTAATAAAAGCGTTGAATCGTAAAGGCATCACACCACTAGTTCTAAATAGCAAGCTAACCCGTACCATCGTTACGTTATTAGCATAGCTAATCTCGTTGCCATCGTGATCGTTTGGTCTCAAATATAAACTAATCGAATAAAAAAAATGTGAATACGCCGGGATCTTAATTAGTGCAAATGAAGGACCAACTGAGGAGCTATGGTAGGTACGGCGGCCGATACCACAATAGTCGTGTATATTATCCATCTTATGCGATATGAAACAAATAAATGAACATGATTAATTGGATTCATTCTATTTGAACCCACTACGCGGTCGTGACAGCGTTGTACCATTGTTCGTCAACTAGAAGACCCAGTCAGGCTCCCGCAATGAAAAGCTGGTGACTTCTGTTCCAACTGATATCTGCGGGAAACCCCCTCTCTCCCCACCCCTCCCCTTCTCCCATTTTCCCCCCTCCTCCACCGCTCCGCTCCGTCCCTACTCTCCTCCCTTCCCCACCCCGCCCCCCCCCGTCATCTGGATATATATCCTGGGCGCACGTGGTTGTACAAACCTGGCTCGAGGTCGCTTTCTGGTTAATTATTGCACCATTCATTATCGATTACATCTGAAAAACATTCCATTGATTTGAGATTCTCTTTTGTTCCTTCCATTTTTTTTTTTTTTGGTTGTAATTTTCTCTCTCTCTCTCTCTCTTTTTGTTTTTTTCTTTCCCTACTATCCATCTAGATGAACTAATATGACCATATTTATGTATTTATTTTTTAGATATGGTATCAAAAATTATAATTTGTGTACACCATAGTTGAACCAATAGGATCAAATCTAGGTTTTGGTTTTAACATATGACTTTCTCTATATTGTATTGACAGAAATACAGGCAGTTGGGAATGCATTTGGAACATACTTTAGGGTTACAACATATGGAGAATCTCATGGGTGTGGGGTTGGTTGTGTGATTGATGGATGTCCTCCTCAGATTCCCCTCTCTGAAGCTGATATTCAACTTGATTTGAATAGAAGGTAATTGTGAAATTGTTTTTATCTCTACTTCATCTTATCAAATTTATAAATTTCCTCTTTGTTTGTCTATAGTATATTTGTCGATGGCATTTTGAAACAAGTAGTTGGGAACATGATTGGAGAAATTATGTTAGAAGAACAATGTACATGATCCCTGCCAAAAATGGAAATTGTTGGGCTGGGTTCGAGGTGGGCCTACATTAGGAAAAAAAAATTGTGCCCAATTCAACCCCTCTTCAAAATTTCATTTCAAACCTGTCTAACAAATTTATGTATTACATTGAAAAATAAATATTAATAAATTTGAAATTTAGTTGACACAAACACTTGTATTTATTAATCACAACCTAGGTTTAAACATAATAGTTTGTTTTTTCCCTTCTTAAACATATATTTTTTATTGAAACAAAAATAAGCGGTCATGCCAGGCTATCATTAATAGCTACAAAATGACAAAAAAAAAAGAAGTTAGAATTTTAATATAATTCACACGCATCTCAAAATATTTTTATACAATTTTTAAATATCTTGATATACATTTCACACATTTACCCATATAAATGACAAAGCCTAGTATTTTCTAATATGTAATTACAACCAGGTTGGGCTGAATTGAGTTTTGATGACCATAATAAGGAGTTTTAAGTGTGTAGAAGATTTAAACATATACATATATATATTTGCATTTACTTTTATACATAATGTATAATTTTTTTAAGTTAATTAATATATGCCTTGAAGGTAAACGCTAACAAAATCTTTTAATAAATAAATAAAAATATAAAAATATCTAGGTCTTTGTAATAATCAAACCAAGTCAAACCTTAAGTCCCATCAAATGAGGTCGGCTACATGAACCCTTCTTCTCCATGCGGTTCTATTAAAGATCATTTCGTTAGTCAAATTAAATAGATTCATATCTCTATTTACAACATTAGCTAACGTTAATCTAGGCCTACCCGATCCCTTGACACTTCCATCTACCATCATGGCATTGCATCTCTTTATTACTGTCCCTATTGGTCTCCGTTGAATATGACCAAACCATCTTAATCGATTCTCTCTCAACTTATCTTCCATCGATGCTACTCCTATCTATTCCCGAATACATTCATTTCTAATTCTATCTTGTCTAGTTTTGGCACACATAGACCTTAGCATCTTCATCTAAGCAACACTCATCTTATCTACATGTTAATTCTTGGTTTCCCAACACTTCATCTCATATAACATCGCTGGTCTAATAGTCGTTCTATAGAATTTACCTTTTAGTCTAGTGGGTATTTGTTTATCGCACAGTATTCCAAACGCACTTCTCCACTTAAGCCATCCCGCCCTAATCCTATGGGTCACATCCGCATCAATTTCCCCTGCTGTTGTGATAATCGATCTTAAATAACAAAAATGATCAATCTTAAGCAGTTCTTGGTTCTCAATCCTCACTTCTCCTCTGCTTTCATTGTTACTGTTACTAAATTTACACTCCATGTGCTCTGTCTTAATTCTGCTTATCTAGAATCCTTTAAATTCCAGTATTTTTCTCTAAATTTCCAATTTTGTGTTAACTCCTTCTCTAGTTTCATCCACTAACACGATATCATTTACAAAAAGCATATACCATAGCACGTCATCCTGAATATTTCTCGTCAACTCATCCATAACTAACGCGAAAAGATAAGGACTTAAAGTAGATCCTTGGTGTAACCCTACAATGATAGGAAATTCATTTGTCTTTCCGGCAGGCGATCTAATAGTGGTCATCATCCCTTCATACATGTCCCTAATCACATCAATGCAATCTTTTGTCACTCATTTCTTCTCCAACACCCACCATATTATATCCTAAGGCATTCTATCATATGTTTTCTCAAGGTCGATAAACACCATATGAATGTCTCTTCTCTTTTCTTTTCTCTATACTTTTTTATTACTCTCCTCAACAAATAGATCATTTCCATTATTGACCTACTAAGCATAAACCCAAATTGATTCTCTGACACCTCTGTTATGTCTCACAATTAGCGTTCCATCACCCTCTTCCACACTTTCATTATATGACACATTAGATTGATTTCTCTATACTTGTTGCAATTCTAGACATCTTCTTTATTTTTATAGATTAACACTAAAATATTCTTCTTCCACTCATCTGGCATGTTCCTAGTCAACAAAATTTTACTAAACAGCCTAGTCAACCAAACAATCCCCCTTTTACCCAAACCCTTTCAAGTTTCTATAGGGATATCATCGGGTCCTAAAGCCTTAATTGATTTTATCTTCTTGAGTGCAATCTTCACTTCAAAGTTCATAATCCTGCGATAGAACCTATAGTCTTAGTTTATCGTATTACTGACTATTTCTTTCCTTATTGGCGTATCTTCATGTTCCTTATTTAATAGTTTCTCAATATCGTTCCTCCATCTCTCCTTAATCTCTTCATCCTTCACCAATACCTTAGAATCTTCACTCTTGATGCACTTAACTTGATTAAAATATCTTGTTTTTTTCTTCCCGTATCTTAGCAAGTTTGTATACTCTCTTCTCTCCCTCCTTACTATCTAGTTTAGTGTATAGGTCATCATAAGTTTTCAACTTATCCTCTCACTACTTTCTTGACCTCCTTACTAGCCAATATATAGCTCTTAAGGTTTTCCTTAGTTCTATCATTCTGTCACTTTTTAAAGCACTCTTTCTTTGCCTTAACTACCACTTGAACTTCTTCTCTCCACCACCTAGTTTTCCTAGAGTTGGGTCCCGTTTCTTTCGACTCTCCAAGCACTTCCCTTGAGTTTCTCCTCATGCAGTTGGCTATTGAGTTCCATATAGTATTAGCATCATCTTCCAAGTCCCAAGCACCTTCCTTATCCATTCTATTCTTAAATATTTCTAGTTTATCCCTTTTTAGGTCCTACCATCTTGTCCTATGACGCCCACCATCTTTCCTAGCTTGGTATTGCCTTTTAAAACATAAATTTAGTACCAAAATCCTATGTTGAGAGGCCAGGCTCTCTCCAGAAATCACCTTACAATCACTGCATTTTAGGCGGTCCACTTTTCTCACTAAAAAGTAATCTATTTGGCTCTTAATTGACCTACTCTTAAAGGTTATTAAATGCTCTCCCTTTTCTTATACATAGTAGTGGCCACCACTAGGTTAAAAGCCAATGCAAAATCTAAGATACTCTCTCCAACCTTATTTCTATCACCAAAATCATATCTATCATGTACCTTTCATAGCCTAATTTATCTATACCTACATGGCTATTAAAATCTCCACCTATAACAAGTTTTTCTCCTACAGGTATCTCCGTAAGATCTCATCCATTTGCTCCAAAAATCCCCTCTTAATTTGATCATTTAATCCTACTTGAGGGGCGTAATAACTAGTTTAACAAACATAATTCTATCCCCTTTCCTAATGACCGCCACTACATTTTCCACAAGACCCTTGGCAACTATGATTTCTATCACATTCCTCCGTCTATCATTACCACTATAATACAGTTTAAAGTCGGTATCCTCAATTTCTCTAGCTTTCTTGCCTGTCCACTTAGTTTCTTATACGCATGTTGTTCTAATTCTTCTCCTAATCATAACATCTACCAATTCCATCGTTTTACCAGTTACAGTTCCTATATTCCAAGTTACTATCCTAAATCTAAGTCTTAGACTAACTTCTTTACTCGCGCTCGTTCAGAAAAACGCGAGAATTTTTGTTCATTTTTCACCGCACCTAGACGTCGATGCGACGCCCCTTGTAATCTAAAATCAAATCTCAATTCTTAAAATAAAATATATATATATAAAATAAAAAAAAGCAGACCGCATTGAGCAGCCACGGGTCCTTCCCGTGTGGTTACTTATCTCTCTTCAAATTCAAATGTTTGATTTAATTTGATTTTAAATTTAAGTAAAAATTTTGGTATGACATGAATTATATCAATTTTTTCAATAATTTTTTTTTATAAAAAATAAATTCCTCTCTTATTTCAAAATTTTCATTCATTAAATTTGATGAAACATTGATTTAATAAACATGAAAGGATTGGAGATATTTTAGAGTAAATTTGATGAAAAAAAATAAAATAAAAAAAAAATTTTAAGGATTAGAGATGGCCTCACAATTGAAGTTGTTGGACCCAGGAGGCCAGGTCAGAGCAGAGTAACTACGCTTCGAAAAGAGACCGATGAATGCCAAATATATTCCGGCATTGCTGAAGGTTAGGTCATTTTCTGCTTTAATTACTAAGTGTTTTTCCCTCTCTTTTTTTCCCAACCGAAGATCTCTTGGAGTTTTTTTTGTTTTTATGATTGGGCCTTGACTAATGTTGAGACCCATGCAAAGCACCCTCCCCACATGGATCGGGGTAAATCTCAAATAAAGCCCACCAGCGTGACCCAAATAGTTTATAGCACTTGGTGGGAGTTCCGAAACCTTAAAATTCCCCAACTAACCATCATCAGCGTGGTGTTTTATTAATTACAGGCATCACAACTGGATCTCCGATCATGGTAAAAGTACCCAACACAGATCAGAGAGGACATGTGAGTACACCCATATAATGCCCTCTTCTTCTTATATTCAATGGGCTGATGGGCTTTAGTTTGGAATGTCTTCCAATCAGTTAGGCACCTCTTGGGTGGTCTGTGATGCCACATTTGATTTCAATTTGTACAAGATCAAACATGTAGAGTGCATTGCCACTGTGATTGAACTTAGTCCTTTATGGGTTACATCAACATAGCATTTGAAGTTTGTGAATTCTTTTCGGTTTGCTGCATTTCAAAAGCCTCTGTTTCCATTTCTTATCGAAGACTGGTTTTGAAATTACCATGAAATAAAGTTTTATAGGTCCGTTTGTTTTAGCGGAAAATAAATTATTTTTTTTAAAAGGGGTAAACGTGCAGGTCCTAATAAGTAGATTTATTGTCTAATAGGTCCTAAGGGAAATATTTGTCATAAAAAAACGTCACTAATTATAAGTTTTAGCTACAATTTATAAAAATCATGCCAAAAAAAAGTTACTAATTGTCAATTTTTAGCGATGTATGTAAAAAATTGTCACAAAAAAATTATTTTTAATGACAATTTTACCAAGATTTATTTTCAATAAGACGTGATGGGAATTAAGTCTAACTATTAGGACCTATTAGTAGTTTACCCTTTTTAAAAAGCATTTTCCAAGAAACTGTTTATTTCATGAAAGGTTTGTTTTACTATGTTTAGTTGTAGTCTTGAAACTAATGTGTTAATGTTTGTGTGAGTAGTGGTGGTGGTGGGGTGCTTGGGCTTTGCTAAGACTTTAGTTTGGAGTGGAAAATATTTCTTGTCCAAACATAAAAAACCGTTTTTTGATGACTTTTGTTTTCTATCTTACCACAGGCCAGCAATGTGAAAAATGTTTTCCTTCGAAGCAAAAAAAGCTTAGTTTATTTATCATTTTCTTGGGTAATGGTTCATTTATTTGTGGTGGTAATGATACCATATGAGTGGCTGAAATTATTCTTTTATATGGTGGATGAAATGGAAGCATTTGTCTTCCACCACATTCCAAATGAGCCCATGATGATAGATGAAATGGGAAAGTTTCTATTAGGGTGTATTTAAGTGGACCTAGTAGTAAGTTATCTTAATCTAGTGTTATAATTGATCATCACATTTTTGTCACTTGTAGTAAACAAATGCAATTGTTCTCATGATTTGTGTTATTGGATTTCCAGGATTATAGCGAAATGTCAATAAAATGTAGGCCTTCTCATGCAGATGCCACTTATGACTTCAAGTATGGTGTGAGATCAGTTCAGGTAAATTCTTCCAGAGTCATAATTATAATAAGCTGAATGTAAAGGAATTGCAGTTCTATATTGATTCTGTGTTCTAATTTTTTGGCTGCATCATCATGGTGTTGTAGGGTGGTGGTAGATCTTCAGCTAGAGAAACTATTGGGAGAGTTGCTGCTGGAGCTGTTGCTAAGAAAATTCTTAAGCAATTTTCAGGAACTGAGGTGCGTTATTTGATTGTGTGATGGACAGTTAATTTCTTTACTTTTGTTTTCCAAATGCCATTCTGAGGGTGTATTATGTGCATATGCACAGATAAATGTTGTACCCAATGAACAAGGCTCGTGTTTTATGGTAGAGTCTGGGTGAGGTAGTAGGTAGGCAGTCTGGACGCTGTGCCATAGAGCTGGAGTGGATGAGTAAATATGTAAAAATATAGTATTGCATACAAGATACATCTATATATTTATGTATGTATGTAAAAGTAATGGTGCAAATCTATAATTCTATGTATAGAAATGATGTTTCTTTGGTTCTCCATTGATGCCCTTATGTTTGTATGTCTCAGGTTCTTGCTTATGCTTCTCAAGTCCACGATGTTGTACTTCCAAAGGATCTTGTTGATCATGAGAGTCTGACTCTTGATCAGGTAATAATTTCTTCATTCTTTTTCTTCGCCTCCCTAGGATTGTGGTCCTAACCTCCAGGGCAATGCAACCAAAGCAGGTTGACTTCTAAAAAACTTTTGGAGTTTAACACTTCTATAAATCTAAAGCACTTTTTAGTTGTTTGATTCTAATCGGTTTTTTAAAAAGAGGATAGAGAAAAAGGAGACCGAATGCATGAGGCTTTTGTTTAAAGTGGGGCCTGAGAAGGGTGAGATGTATGTAAGTAATGTTACCCCTATTTCTGAAGATAGAAGTGTCTTGAATCATCTAGGTCATAAGTCATTGGATATGAGGAATGAGGCATAAGGGAATCATGGTGTGGTAGAGAGTCCCTTGGTTGAGTCAGGAAGGGGAAGGGGGGGAAGAGAGGTATGTGGGTATCGAGCCATTTTGCTATTGAGCGGAGCCACCTTGAATCAAGGGGGTATCAAGCCATGTTGAGCTGCCTTGGCTCAGCTGAGCGGTGCTCATGGCTCGGGATACCTATGCTATGGCTCGTCTTATGGTGCCATGGCTCAGACCAATGATGTCAAGCATGTTAACTGGCCAGACCACCATACTTAGCTGTTCATGTGAGCCCACTGAGGCTGAGCTCATAACCTCCTCAAGAGATGTCGTGGGACATTGGCACCAACGTGGCTTGGAATTCTAAATTAATTCCATTTCTTTCTTCTCAATTTTGCCGATAACTTGTTCAATTTGTTCTTTTATTTTTATAGTTGTTATTTACTCGCCTTATTAACCTAATTGAAGTTTCTCTTGTAAATATTATCAGATAGAGAGTACTATTGTTCGGTGCCCGAATCATGAGTACGCAGAGAAGATGATTGCTGCCATTGATGATGTCCGAGTGAGAGGAGATTCTGTTGGTGGTATTGTCACATGCATTGTCAGAAATGTTCCACGTGTAAGCTCTTGCCCATCAGAGTTTTTAATATCGGTCAATGTGTATCAGAACTTTAGACTTCCGATACCAATATAACGGCCGATACTGTCTAATATCGGCCAATATATGACTGTATTACTGATACCAATATGTGCATTATTTAAAACCATGCTCCACAACACAAAACCTGTGTGTATAATTTAAAACTTCAGCAGTTCCTTGCCATTCAACACTGCAAAACTCCCTGGAATTTTTCTTTGTTGTAAAAAATCTTGAAAATTTTGTTACTCTATGTCAGGGGCTTGGTTCACCGGTCTTTGATAAACTTGGAGCTGAGCTGGCTAAAGCTGCTATGTCCTTACCTGCGTCAATGGGCTTTGAGATTGGAAGCGGGTTTGCAGGTGTATATACACTTATATTGTGTAGATGATTCTTTTCTTTGATGGATTTTTAGTGGCGTCTATGTTTTGTTTCTCAATGAAAACATTCAGGTACATTTCTGACTGGGAGTGAGCATAATGATGAGTTCTTTATAGATGAACATGGCCGAATTAGAACCAGAACAAACCGCTCTGGTGGGATTCAGGTATTTTTTTAACCTTTATCATTTTTGTGCTAGATCGCCAATTGTCCCAAAAGCTTAAATTGTTAGAAAATGAGCCTGAAAATGTATATCAAGGTATCGAACACCATCCCATCATGTGCAACCCCATCTTGCACGTGGAGAGAAACAAATTGAGTGAACTGGGAGAAAATATAACAAGGAAATAAACACAGATTATGAACCTTGAACCTAGGATCTTCTACAGTCGGAGCTCTGATACCATATTAGTTCATCATCCATCTTAAAATCTTAAATGATTAGGAAACACCCTACGATGTATCAAGTTATCTAATGTTCTGCATGTATAGTAAGCCATTTAATATATTTTACTAGGAGATTGAGATTATCTATTGTTTATGAGCAGGGTGGAATATCCAATGGAGAATTAATAGACATGAGAGTAGCTTTCAAACCAACGCCTACAATTAGAGTAAGCTTGCTCTCTCTCTCTCTGTGTTAAACATTTGGTGCTGAATAATCTGCTGCAGCGCTTCTCTGGCCCTGTTTGGTAGGGCTTATTTTCAACTTATTTTAGCTTTTAGCTTAATTTAAGTTATTTTGACGTGTTTGGTTCAGCTTAACAATACAGCTTATAACTTTTTGTAAGCCAAAAATCAACTTATTCTTTGAGTGGGGGGAAGAGAAGCTTAATTTATAAGTCAAAAATCAGCTTATGTTCACAGTTATAACTTATAAGGTATAAGTTGTTAAGCTATATGCTATAATCACTTTCCCACAGCTCTACCAAACGGGGCCTCTCTTGGATTCAAATTATGTTAAATTTCAGCAAAATAGAGAGCACTGCACATTTATGTGTACATTTTGATTTTTGTAGAGCTGTTTGTGTTTAGTTTCATGATTTATTGACACAAGTTGTTAATGCTATATTGTTGTTTTGATGCTTTTGCAGAGGAAACAGCATACAGTTACAAGAGATAAGCAAGAGACGGAGCTTATATTCCGAGGTCAACAAGATCCTTGTGTTGTACCACGAGGTTTGTCTTTGAAGGACATGTTTTCTCTTATTCTTCCCTTACCATCCTCTTTAACTTTCCCTCACTACTCCTTTCTGTATTATACTTCTTGCTAATTTGCAATAACTAACGACAAGGGTTAGATCATAGCAGCCTGGAGCTTTATATTCACTAATACCAGGATGGCCAGCTATATATGGTTGCTATGATCAGTTATTGCAAGGATTATATCCAAACCAAACCAAACCAAACCAAAGCCTTGTGTCCAATTAGTTGGGTTCAGTTACATGAATAGTCATCGTCTCATTCTTTAATGGCAATACAAGTGATTAGAATACTTTTTTCCAAATCTTAGTGGGGGGAAATTACCCCGTCCCAGTTGCCACCCTCCGCCTTTTGTCTATAATTATCTTCTCTTTTAAATGTATTTCTCATAATTATCTTTCTTTCAACACTACTTGGGGTACATAAGCACTGATCACATTGGTTATTGTTTTCCCCAACTCCAAGTTTAGTTAGAGCATTGTTATGTCTCATTTTCTCATAATTGTTACTACATTAGCTTTAAGGTGTTCATTTTTATGTTTATCTTTTTCTGGTTTATACTTGGTATTTCCTATTTCATTTGTTAAATCACCCACCCACTTAATTTTCTACAAGCACGCTATACTAATTTTCCTTCAACTCACTGTATCTAGTAATTCCAATTTCCATTATTTTACTAATAATATTTCTATACTCAAATGTTCTAATCTAAACCTAAAATTATGACCTAGCTTCTTTATGCGTACTCATCGTGAGAAGCAGGGGGATCCTTGCCTATTTTTCACTGACCCTTAACAAGAACTATATTATGATATTCATACAAACAGGAGCAGTTAGCTTGCACGTTCTGTTTAATCACATAAAGGGAAGAAGGAAAACACCCTCTAATAGTTTGTTGATGGATCATTTTGCTGCTTGTGATGGTGCAGCGGTGCCAGTGGTTGAAGCAATGGTGGCTCCGGTGCTTGTGGATCAACTGATGGCACATTATGCACAATGTCAAATGTTTCCAATTAATCCAGCATTACAGGAACCCTTGGAGTTTCCAAGACTACTTGAGCCTGCTGCCACTGCTCTTTAAAAGGTGCGGAGTGTCTGCCTCGTCTTCTCTGGTACCTTCTCCCCGACTTCTTTAGCTCACACCATTTTCCTAAATTCCCAAGATTCTATGTTTTAATCGAGTGATTCGTTTATAATTTCTGTATGAAACCCGCCATCGTAGGGTGTCATGTTCAAGCATTGTTTTCCCCTTGCTTTGTTGTACATTGTAACTGCTTCTAAATAATGAGAAATAAATTCGTAGGATGGTTATTTGGGCCTTCTCTTTGTCTAGAATGTTTATCTGATTTCATAACTTTATTACTGCATGCCGTACTAGTACTACAATCTTAGTAAGAAGTCAGTAAATATTGTATGTATATATATGGCTTTCCTTATTTCAAATAATTATCAAATTAGTTTAGGTGTAAGATTGTAAGCAAACCCGAGTCGTTTATGAGCAGCTCAAATTCAGCTTGCTTAACACAAAGCTCATTCTCTAAATGACGAGCTCAAACCAAATTTTTAGGTTAATTTTTTGCATAGTTGATTGAGATTGAAAAAAACAAAAAACAAAACAAAATCAGAAAAACATTGTAGCACAGGTGGGTGGCCTTTCTTTTTACTTTTGATTCTCTTTCTCTTTTCCATTTTGTCATGCTTTTTGTTTGTTGAATAATCTAT